CTCCTCCCTGTTGGCTGTTTTGTTTTCTTGAAGGCTCATCGTTTCTGGCTTTTCTTTTACCTAGTTCCTTCGTTTTTGTTAACGGGGTGGGTTAAAGAATTTTAGAACTAGGGTCGTTTCTAAAGGTCAGTCCGGTTTAGGATCCCGTCCATGCAGATTCCTGCATTCCCACAATGGTATTTAAGAGTTGTTAATGTACATATGTTCTTTTTCTTTGTGTACACATTTAGTTTTATTGTAACAAAGCAACTTGTACACTTTTAACGTTTAAAACTCAGCATCATCTTTTCTTTCCAGTGAAACAAAAATAAAATCTAAAAATAAACTGGAACAAAATTACAATAGAGAAATGTCAATTCTGAATAAGATCCTACAGGGTCTGCTGATTCTCCCATCGAGTGGCAGGACTCACATCATCATTAGGAGAGACTTTTATTTTAAAAATGTCATCTTAGACTGCAAGGATGTCCATTAAACAACAATTAAACATGCCAAAGAAGGGGACATGTCAAAATGCCCACTTAACTCACCAAACGTCTCAGACCCACCCTTTGCTGACATTCTATAACCTCCCTCCCCCTTTTAAATTTTTTTTTCTTTTTCTTTTTAAAAGAAAGTAGACAGATACATGTTGGTTAATGCTAACTGCCCATATTCTCACGGAGACAGTGTTATCTGAGCCCCATATGCAGAGAAAGGAGGGGGAAGAGCTAGAATTCTGTGCACTAGGCAGGGCCTAGCACCCTCCAGCTTCCAACAAAGCTAATGAAACAAGCCCCCCACCCACCCACCCCGCAGAACACGGTGCTGTTGATTCCATAAAGTTTTTGTTGAGACAAGATAAAAATATATTTGGAACAGAAAGTGGTGGAGATTCTTTTCCCACTGTATTGTGTTCAAGGTAATTCCCCTCCGAATAAGGTGAGAACCATGGTATTAAGGAGAGAGAAGAGACCTTAAAAACTAGGCAACTGAGCACAAGAGGGGGGAAAAAAATTTGCTCCCAGAGATTGGATAAAATTTAAAAAGAAGATTGGAATCCATCAGTGTTCCATTAGTCATCTTCATTTTCCTCTTCTTTATCCCCCTCTTCATCTTCTTCATCCACCTCCCCTTCATCCATATCTTCCAACCCTTCCTCTTCATGATCGTTATCATCTCCCCCCCCCTTTTTTGTTTGTTTGTTAATCCTCACCTGAGGATTTTTTTCCCCCCATTGATTTTTTAGAGAGAGTGGAACACTCCAGCACACTAGAAACAAAAGAGCATTTTTTCATTCTGGTAATGGAATTACTTGGTAGGCAGAATAATGGCCCCCGAGATGTCTACATTCTAAAACCCATAACCTGTAAATATGTTATGTTACATGGCAATAAAAGAATTAAGATTGCAGATGGAATCTTTGCTATCTCAGGTTAACAAAGGTCTTAAATATGATACAAAAAGTACAAATCATAGGTGAAATAAATGAGTGGAACTTCATAAAATTTAAAAACTGTTGAAGACATTAAGTCAATGAAAAGACAACCCTAACCAGTTTGGCTCAATGGATAGAGCATCAGCCTGTGGACTAAAGAGTTCCCAGGTTCCATTCTGGCCAAGGGCACAAGCCAGGGTTGCGGGCTCAATCCCCAATAGGGGACGTGCAGGAGGCAGCCAATCAATGATTCTTTCTCATCATTAATGTTTCTCTCTAGCTGATAGGAAATGTAGGTGCAGGTGTACATGAGAACTCTGTATTATGACAATTTTTAAAAATCGGGAACTGTTCTACAGTGTACTTAAAAAACGGATAATATCAAGCTATTATCAAGGATGTGGACCACCTAGAACTCTAATACACAAAGACAACAGTTTCATAGTTTATAAAGTTAAACATTTACTTATCATGTGTCCTATCACTTCTGATCGCAAATATTTACCTTATGAAAACCTAGGTCTACAAAAAGAAATGTTTATAGCAGCTTTATTCATAGCAGCTAAAAACTAGAAACAGCCCTAGTTGGTTTGGCTCAGTGGATAGAGCATCAACCTGTGGACAGAAGGGTCCCAGGTTTGATTCTGGTCAAGGGCATGTTCCTGGTTGCAGGCTCTTCCCCAGCCTGGGCCCTGGTCAGGGCATGTGCAGGAGGCAACCAGTCGCTGTGTTTCTCTCACATGGATATTTCTCTCTGCCTTCCCTTCTCCCACTCACTCTAAAAGCCAATGGAAAAATATCCTCAGGTGAGGATTAAAATAAATAGATAGATAGATAAATACAAACAACCCAAACATAAATTAACATATAAATGATAAAAATAAATTGTGATACATATATATAGTGATATATGTGATACATATGATTAGGATAGTACTCAACAATAAAAAGAAATGAATTAATGACATATACAAGAGTATGGATGAATAGCAAAACCTTATGCTAAGTTATGATAAAAACAGACAAAAGGAATATATACTCTATGATTCCATTCATAAGAAATTCTAAACAAGAGAGATTATAAACTGTGACAAAAAGCAGATTAGTGGTTGTCTCCGACCACAGCTGGTGGGCAGGGAAACTGCCTGCAAATAGGTTTGAAGGAATGTTTTAGGGCCGTGGAAGCCTTCTGTATTATGTTTGAGGTAGTCTTTATCAAAACTCATTCAACTTTAAATAGGTGTATTTTCATGTGTATAAACTATCATTCAATAAGATTAATTTACTATATGTAATACCTTAATCAATGAAGAAAAAAATAACATAAAAAAGTAAAATTGAGCCCTGACTGGTTTGGCTCAGTGGATAGAACATCGGCCTGCAGACTCAAGGGTTCCAGGTTCGATTCCGGTCAAGAGCATGTGCCTTGGTTGCAGGCACATCCCCAGTGGGGAGTGTGCAGGAGGCAGCTGATCGATGTTTCTAACTCTCTGACCCTCTCCCTTCCTCTCTGTAAAAAATCAATACAATATATTAAAAGAACGTCAGCCTGCAGATTGAAAAGTCCCAGGTTCGATTCTGGTCAAGGGCCTGTACCTTGGTTGTGGGCACATTCCCAGTGGGGAGTGTGTAGGAAGCAGCTGATGGATGTTTCTCTCTCATCGATGTTTCTAACTCTTTATCTCCCTCTCCCTCTCTGTAAGGAAAATCAATAAAATATATTTTAAAAAAATAAAAATAAATAAAATTGATTTACAAAAGAAGAGACAAAAAACTTTAACAGGCAGTTTGTATAATAAAAATTCAGAATTGTCAGGCTCTTGTAATTACATTTAGGGCTCACCCAGATGATGCAGAATTGTGTCCCCATTTCAAGATCCTTCATTTAACCACACCAACAAAGACACATTTACAAGTTCTAGGGATTAAGACCTGATACATTTGGGTGGCCCACTACAACCACATTTCCACATTTTCCCTTTTTATCCTGTATTACATCATTTGTTATTACAAAAGTGATAGGTGATTTGAAAAGAAAATTAGAATATACAGATAAGCAAAAGAAGAAAACAAAAATGCCATAATCCTGCCCCTAGAGATAAGCATTGTTAATATTTTGGTAACTATCATTTTCATATATATATATTAGAGGCCCAGTGCACAAAATTCATGCACGTGTGGGGGGTCCCTCAGCCCAGCCTGTACCCACTTGCAGTTCAGGAGCCCTCAGGGAATGTTTGATTGACGGCTTAGGCCTGCTCCCTGCGGGGAGCCAGCAGTCAGATAGCCTTAGTGTTGCCATGGAAGCGGGGGAGGCTCCTGCCACCGCCACTGTGCTCGCCAGCCTTGAGCCCAGCTTTTGGTTGAGTGGTGCTCCCTCTGTGGGAACACACTGACCAAGAGGGTGCAGCTCCTGCGTTGAGCATCTGCCCCCTGGTGGTCAGTGCGCATCATAGTGATGGTCGACTTGCATATTAACCTTTTATTATATAGGATATATGATTGATTTCAGAGAGGAAGGGAGAGGGAGAGAGAAATAGAAACATCAATGATGAGAGAGTATCATTGATAGGCTGCCTCCTGCATGCCCCATAATGGGGACTGAGCACAAAACCCAGACATATGCCCCTACCGGAATCAAACAATGATCTCCTGATTCATACGTCGACACTCAACTACTGAGCCACACCAGCTGAGCTTGATAACTATCTTTACAATTTTTTTCTCTGTGACTATACATTTACATATAGGTCCCACTAAAGTTTTAAAATCCAGCTCATAACACAGCCCTTGATTCCACTTTGCAGAAGTGCACCTCCAAGTTGGGAAGCACCGCTGTTATTCCCATAGAAACCCTAAAATGCAGAAATTTACTTGGAGGGGAAAACTTAGATATTCCTTTATGTCACATAGTTTAATGTCAGAATGCCTTTTTTTGAAATAAGAAGTTAAGTAACATAAAAAAGCTTGTGGTCATTTGTGCAATGATAGGGGAAAGAATATGCGAGAATGTCAGTCTCAAGAGAAGTGCCAGGAAATTTCTTCATTTCCAGAGCTGAAGGTGAACTGGCTTTCCGGAATTTGTGACCACTCGCTTTGAATGTGTGTGTGTGCTAGTGGGAGGCTGTGACTCTTGTATTCGGGAAATGCCCTGTGCATCACCAGTGGAGCCGACTGACAGTGGTAATGCATTTGCTCTGTGCTAACCTTGCCCTGGTGACAGAGAGTATTCATTTGCTAGAAGTCTACCGGGACCCAGGATACACATGGTAAGCATGGCTTTGACTGCAGTAATAATATGCTTTAACCAACCAAACCAGCTCATTCTCTCTCGCTATCTCTCTCTCCCCCTCTCTCTCTCCCATAAAAAATTAATGCAAATTAAATATTCAAAACACTTTGTTTCATTTTAAGCTATAGAGTAAATAAGCCAACAGCAACAGGATTCACATATCATGAACAGATAGGGAACAAATGAATAATTCCTTTCCTAATGTACATTTCTAGCTTTTGCATCTTTAAGTCTCAAGTTTTACTTCTTTGGCTACTTCTACTTACACTCATCTTCCCCTTTTGAACAGTAGTTCTTGTTTCCAAACCATTCATACTATGCTTTGGCAAGAAAAGAAAAAAAGAGAACTCGTCAGTGTTTGCCTTTACAATCCCCAGCCACAGAACACAGAGACCTCAGATCTACAAGACACCAGACCTCACACTGTGAAACAGAAAGCAAATAAAAAGAATCTTTATTTTAAAAGCATTTGATCCACCAAGAACAGGGCAACTGGATTGTTCAGCCAGGTACCGTGTGAAGAGATAACGGGGTTTTAAATGGGTTTTGGAACCAAATATTACAATTTGGGTTTACAGTTATTTAAAGCTTGTGCCTGGGGGTATAAAAGTCTTAACACTAAAGACTGTGGTTTTGCATGACTGGATTTGACTGGATTTGCCTGCAGTGAAACTTGTAGGGCTGGATAGTCTGTTAGTCTGGCCTGGTGGGGTTTCATTAGGCTCCTTGGGATTGATGTGTAAATATAGAATTAAATTAGAAGGGAGACAAAGTGAGGGAAAGTGCTCTGAAAATACTTTTTGGGCTTATACTTTTGTTCCTAAAGTTTTTGTTGGAATCACAGAAGATAGCTGAAAAGATGGGGGGGGCAGGGGAAGGGCCGGGGCAGGGAGCGGTGCGGAACCTGCAACTTTAGTCCTCTGCATTACTGGTGAGAAAGCTGCTATCTAGAACAGTGATTTTTGAACGAATAGGCCACAAAAAAATTTTAAACATGCACTACCTGACAACTTAGCCAGGGGCACTGACCTCTTTTCCCTAGATTGTCAAATAAAAAAATGACAACACAACAATAGCCATCTGGTGTGTGTGAATGCCCTGTCTTGAACCATAAATATCGGTCATATAATGGAGTTGCATCTTATTGGTCATGTTATCTGATTGATTTTTTTTAAAAAATTGATTTGTGTGTGAGAGAGAGAGAAACATCAATTTGTTGTCGCATTTACTTATGCATTCCTTGATTGATTCTTGTATGTGCCCTGACTGGGGATTGTACCCGCAATCTTGGTGTATTGGGACAACACTCTAACCCACTGAGCTACCCGGACTGGGCTAACAGGCCAGGGCTGGTTAATTCTTGATACCAGAAATCCTTATAAACAAGTATAGGTACCTGATTTTTTAAAAAGTCACCTTGGAGCCAAAAGGGCAGTAATTACCTGTTGGGGTGTTTTGGTTTTTTTTGGTAAATCAATCAGAATTATACCTATTTTTGTCAGATCGGCATAAAATATATTTTTTGGAATGCCACAGAATTTTAGTACTATAATTAGCTTATGTGTGCCTTGAGATGAAAAAGGTTGAAAACCTCTGTTCTAGAGAGAAGTGAAGGAACCCACTGTTAGAGGACATCTATTGTTAATAGCGTCTTTACATACTTTATCTCGGTTAATCCTTACAACTCTGCTTCAGAGGGATAGAAAATGTGAGAAGGGAGGTCAACTGGCATGATTCAGGTCTATAGAAGTAGGATGGACGCTGCCTCCTGTCACTGTTCTCTTACTGGTTCAGCCCACTGCTATAATGCTAATTGTATTAGCCTGCTCGGGCTGCCATAACAAAATGCTACAGACTGGTGGCTTAACCAACAGAAGGTTAATTTACTTTATTATTATTATTTTTTAATCCTCACCTGAGGATATTTTTCCATTGCTTTTTGAGAATAGAAGAGAGAGAGGGAAAGACAGGGAGAAACATTGATGTGAGAGAAACACATCCATCGGTTGCCTCCTGCAGGCGCCCTGAGCAGGCCTGGGTCGGGGAAGAGCCTGCAACGAAGGTACATGCCCATGACAGGAATCGAACCCAGGACACTTTGGTCCACAGGCCAACACTCTATCCACTGAGCCAAACCAGAAAAGTTATTTCCTCACAGTTCTGAAGTCCAAGATCAAAGTGGTTTCTCTTGAGGCGCTCTGCTTGGCTTGCAGGTCTGCCTTCTCACAGTCTCTCCTCTGAGCTTGCATCTCTGGGTCTCTGTGTACAAATCTCATTGTCTTGTTAAGGACTCCAGTCAGATTGAATTGGGGCTCACCCTAATAGCCTAATTTTAACCTAATTACCTATTTAAAAGCCCCATCTCCAAATACAGTAATGTCTCAAGGGGTGGGGGGGCCTTCAACTTCACAACAGTCCTAGGAGGTGGGGATTAATCATATCAGCATTTCAGATAAAGAAAGCAAGACTTGTCCAGCTGGTGTGGTTCACTGCTTAAGTCTTGACCTATGAACCAGGAGGTCACAGTTCGATTCCCGGTCAGGGCACACGCCTGGGTTGCGGGCTCTATCCCGAGTGGGGCGCATGCAGGAGACAGCCAATCCATTATTCTCTCTCACCATTGGTGTTTCTCTCTCTCTCTCTCTCTCTCTCTCTCTCTCTCTCTCTCTCTCTCTCTCTCTCTCTCTCTCTCTCTCTCTCTCTCTCTCTCTCTCTCTCTCTCTCTCTCTCTCTCTCTCTCCCTCTCTTTTTCTCTCTCTCTGAAATCAATAAAAAATATATTTTTTAAAAAAAGAAAGAAAGCAAGACTCAGTAAGGGAAGGGTACCCATTTAATGAACAGCAAAGTTCATTTGACTGCAGAGGATTTGAATTCACTACTGCAAAGTTAAAGCTACACATACTTCCCACTTCTGTGTGCCACCTCTCTGTTCCCATTACATATGACTTTCCCCTCATTTCATACATAAGTTCTGGGATGAATCCATAGATGTGGGTTATACGGCTCCTGAGGAGCTTCAATTCTCTAGGGAGCTCATGGAAACATTTGGAATAAAATGTCCATTTAAAAAAATTTTTTTATTGATTTTAGAGAGAGGACGGGAAAGAGAGAGAGAAACATCAGTGTGTGAGAGAATCTTTGATGGGTTGCCTCCCGCACGTTCCCTGCCTGGAATTGAACCTGCAACTTGGACATGTGCCCTGACTGGGAACTGAACCCACCACCTGTCAGTGTACCGGATGATGCTCCAGCCAACTGAGCCACACCAGCCAGGGCTAAAATGTCCATATTTAGTTCTAAATATTATTTTTCCAAGTACAAATGTAGGAAAAGACTTCCTCCATTCAATTCAGTTCTTC